TGGTAAGTTAAACATCCAAAGAGTCGAGGAAAATACTGAGGTAAATTTTACACATTATCATGCTAATGGGCTGACACCACTATATCACAAGAAATACCACCTTCATATGGATTGGATGCCAATAAAGTATGGTTTCATGGTTTCATTAAAACAGAACATCTAATCACACGTCCAAGTAAACATGTCAGTTCTACCACAATATATAAGTACAAATGGTAATTCATGCTCTGCCATTCGCAGGCATCTCCAGTGGAGTTGTATATCTTGGGGCTGCTCAAGCGGTTCATCAGAAATCGGCGCCTCCTCAGAGTTAATGGATTTGGAGAGTATGTAAAGAGAAAGGGGTCAACATTAACTTCAGTGCATTGCACAAAAGCTTCCTACATTTGACATTGTGGTGCAGAACAAAAGCAAAAGTCCATAGCCAGTACAATCACACAGAACACCATTTGTAGTGAAAGGAAGGACTGCAAGGCATAAGAAATCTTCCTTGCATCGTTACCATAAATCGAGAACATTTCTCTGCTTAGTCATTAGATGCATCAGTTCAGCTAAACAGAAATAGGAGATAATGCTTTGAGCCTGTTAATAAAGCCATAATTTCTTCGAAAACAAATCACTCATAATTTGTTGACTTTTACAGTCATTGATTGTAATAACGTAAGTGTAACATATACAATTTCAGAAAGTTTTACTTTCTCCCTCTGTTTCAGATTTCACACTGAGTAAATAAAATTATCAGGAGATTAACAAGTACAACTCACAAAGAGTTCAGCCTGCTATGGAAACGAATAGATTTTAATAGCAACGAATCTCTTCCACATTGGAAAGTAAAAAGATAAACATTTGAAAAAATATATCAAAATGAGCCACTTCGTGTATTGGCTGTCGAGATATAAGATGTGGCAAGATTAACTATAAAGTCAAACTACAAAGCCCATGTTTATGTAACGTATTTTTGACATCTCTGTTGAACTAATCGGTGTCCGTGTCAAATGATTTGAGTAATTAATATATACTGATGTGTACCAATGGTTGGTAACCAATGCTATTTAAAAGAGTAACGAAGAGATAATCTGTGTTTAACTCTAAAAGTGGGCCCACTTTGTATTAAAATAGGGACCCCAGTAGTGATGCTTGACAGCTCATATCTTAAGGTATGGTGGCCCAATACTTTTGGAAAAAATCGTGTAATTAATTAGGTCCAGGTTAGCTGTGTAGTTTTTGTTACTTTGTCTGTTGAAAAGCATAAAGCTATACAATGGGCTATTTGTGCTATGCTCACCGCGATTATCTAAACTCGAGTTTTAGCGTTATAAGCCCACTGGCTTACCGCTAAGCTATTGGGGGGGGGGCTTTTCTTTCACTACAGGTTTAATTATACGCAAACTGACATAAAAATATTTCTATCAGAAATTTCCGTATGAATGCACCATTAAAGATTAGAGAGTTGACTTTAGATATGAACAGCTTTCAGGTAGAAAATTACATGGGAATTATCAGAGAAGGTTTGTTGGAGGTTAACACGTCTTTATACTTCCTCTACTGTTTCTAGCAACGTTAGACCAAAAAGAAAGTCTGCTTCTATTTTGTTTAGCCAAGAACTTTCCAGACAAAGGTATACAACTTTGGGGGTTAAAACTTTTTCTTTACTCTCTCACCAACTCAGTAATAACATTTCTACATAGTTCTACTGACTACACAATTCTAACCATTACAGTTCAAGCATGAACAGGAACTCGGCGAAATACGTGTACAAACAAACAAGTAGCAATTTTCAGCCAATTATAGATAATATTCCTTAGAAAGTTGTTACAAAAATGAACGAATCGCTTCCTTGACTAGTTTAAGATCAAGCGGTTTTATCCACAAGATATGAACCACGCACGCTCGTTAGTCATGCATGCTTCGTTTTTCCTATAGTGGTGGTACGCAATTAATTAACCAATTAACACTTGTTAATCTTTTGACTGGTTTATGCTTTTTTCTTTTGTTTGTTCTTATCAACAATAAAAATAATCTATTTTAAAAATTATCATTACCATTATTATGTGATTTGGATGTGATCTGATATTCATAAAATGTACAGTTTAGGTGAAGTGATCAACATAGCCACGTTAGGTAGTGTGGTTTTTCGTGAAACTTCAGGTGTGGTTCCATTTGTAATGTAAATATTACATGGCTAGAGAGGTGTTAATTTTAGTAACGTGCTCAAACTTTGAAAGGCATGCAGATGTGTAGCAAATTCTACGAGTTGACGGTGTACGTTTTGTTCAGTCAAGAATCAACAGTCGTGGAAATAGGAGTAACGAGGTGCAATTTATCTAGATATTTAAATATATATGCATGTCGTCCCAATCGGTCTTAAACAGTAGTGGAAATAAGAGTAACGAGGTGCAATTTATCTGGATATTTAAATATATATGCATGTCGTCCCAATAGGTCTTAAACAGTAGTGGAAATAGAAGTAACGAGGTGCAATTTATCTGGATATTTAAATATATATGCATGTCGTCCCAATAGGTCTTAAATAGTAGTGGAAATAGAAGTAACGAGGTGCAATTTACCTAGCTATTTGAATATATATGCATGTCGTCCCAATATGTCTTAGTATATAAAAAAATGAAAGGGTGAAATAAATCTTAATGATGATTTTGGAAGTAGATTATTTTTCACTTTTTAGGCGGATGGTATTTTATAATTATGTATGATAGCTGTGGGCTTTAGTTCTATTTTCCCCTTCACGACATCATTTTAAGTTTGCTCTGCTATCTTAGAATTTCAAATAAATTTACACAGATTCATGACGCCTCATTAGCTGTATCTATAATTTGCAATAGTATGGTCGATATGAAGTAAATCAGACACAGTTTAATCAAAGAATCATTTTGGGTTAAGATAATCGAAAATCAACGCAGATGTCAGCTATATATAATACTGTATATATATATAATCATATATACATAGCTTCTCTCTTAAATAGTATTTGAAAATAGTTTACCATTTCCTTTATGATACGATATTATAAAGCAAAGAATGCGACTAATGTTTTCCCCTTATTATCACAAAACTTCACAAAAAACGTCACACACAACTGCTGTTAGTTATATTGAAATACATTCCAACCCATTGACAGTTTAAAATAAATGCAGTTCGCACATTGTGCTCGTTAGGATAATGAGAGTTTACCATAATTATTAAATTGAGTATACATAAGACACGTGGTATAAAATGATAAACAACCAGTTCGGTCCACCTATGTATATGTATTATATATATTATATATATGCGCGTGCATGTGTTATGCTGGTACAGCTTTTTGCTTAGTTATAATCCAGAAGCATTCATATGTGACCATAAAGAACATTTTCGATCTGAATGAACACTTTTACAGGACCGTGCCAAAAAAAAGAGCTACAGCAGGTGGTATGAAGCCGCCCAAAGTTTTCGCTCATTTCAGTTTCTCACATTTATTAGGACTAGCATGAAATTTCTGCATTCCGTTGCGGGGTTCAAAGGCTCCCCCCTCATGATTCACAGAGACACAAACGTACCGATCAAATACCTCCATTATTCCCAATTACTCGAAAAATACCCCGTTATGACATCCACCTGTAGTACCTGTGCACGAGTACCAACTTTGACCCTTCTAATTTATGCTTGGGGTTATACGTATAAACACAGTTTCAAAAATAGCACTCTAGTGATCCTAAGAGGGACAGGAACACAAAATGTGATGCCAGATTCGAGTTCAGCGACCCTGCAAACCTACTCCTAAACCTCCACCGTACCCGAGTGTCCATCGGGCACGTTTTAGTCCCCCTTAGTAGGAAGGGAGGCTATGCTATGAAGAAAAGTCCCCCTCAAGCCACCCCGAATTCGCCTGCCAAGGTTTTTTCTTACTAGTTCTAAAAATGTGGGACGAGTTCGCTGGAAAACAACAAGAACAAAAAATCACGAGTGAGAATTAATATAGAATTCCCTTTCAATAAAGTTATTCCTTCATTATAAACTAAATCCATATTTCAATTCATTGACAGTAATTGTGAAGTACAATATTTCCATTTTCCCAAATAACTGTGTGAAACAGCATGTTTCAGCATTTGTGCTACATGCATACTATTATTCATTAAAATCGCATTAATTTAAATAGGGATTTTATACAAAGTAGTATACGAGTACAGTAGGTTGCCTTGCACGAGTAATTCACTAAATGACTCACTGACATCGTGATTTGTTACTTTTCTAACTGTTAATAACTATTTTATAATTGGACCACCACGGTGCCACGTGAATCGACCTTACTCTTAACATGAATACAGTGAGTCGATGGGGGGTTAAATATCATGAATGACTTTTAACCACATTATCTTTTGTATGATAACAAATGCCATAATCCACACGAGAAGCCAAGGACCATAGTAAAAGACAAACAAAGAATATTGAAAATTCAAATACCCTACTTAGGGTTTACACCAACTACCTGCATTAAGGACCTTTAACAAATTGTTGTAACATTTATCATACCAAATTCACGGCAGTTTTCTCAAGAAAATTATAGTAACTTTCAAGGAATTAAACAGTTGGCAACACTACAAAAACTCGAGGAATTTAACCCTTCAATGAAGTTAAAACTATATATGCTTCGACTCCATAAAAAAAAATGTTGAGGTTTTAACAAATATTTCCGGAGAAAGGCTTTAGATGCCTAAAGCTAAATATTTCTTTCTCCAAGGCGTTGATATATTTAATCCATTTCATGTGTTTACTGATTATTTGACAAGTTTGCATCGATCAGTGAAGAAATTTGAAAAACTGTTGAAAGAAGTCTTCGTTCATCAACAGCCTGTAACAAGCTTAGTGGTTAAATGATAATTTTAGAAAATTAAAGTTTTCAGTGCAATAACAATAAAGTATTTCACAAGTATGTTGCTATTGAAAATGTATGAGAACAATTCATCCATCTACCTATTCGTATTGATTCTAAGACACTGACTTACCGTGTGAACTGCAGATTATTACGTTTTCTTCACGTGTTGAGTCAGAAAACGGGTCGTGCCAACATGAAGGTTTACAAAGGTATCATTAGTAAGGCTAAGGTTGATGTGGTCGACCAGCTGTACGTACATTTTATTATCGTTGTAAGTTCGATGTAGTAATGAACCACTCTTCCAGACGCACCACTTTCATTACACTATTCTAACACAACTGAAAGAGATTAGTAGCAGCAGAACGCTTTAAACAGCGACTGCGTAGTCACGACATTGACGTCACCTATACGACTCATAGAAGATTATGAGTTGCGCGAGTCGTTCCGTGACCCACTTTTGACACGATTCCAGATGTTTAAAGCGACATGCCAAGGTTTGGACAGTACTTGTTATATAGTTGAAGGAACCAAATAAAAAATGAAGGAAGTATACTTATAAACACAGAAACAGAAAACACTATCTATATATACTTATGAAGGAAGTATACGCATAAACACAGAAACAGAAAATACTATCTATATATACTTATATTCTTTCTTCATTGATATGTTTAGATAGTATTTTCTGTATATGTATTTACACGTATACTTCCTTCAACGTATACTTCCTTCATAAACATGTTTCAGCAGTGTTTTCTGCTTCTGTATGTGTTTTTATATGTATACTTCCTTTATAAGTATGTTTATATAGTGTTTCTTCTTTTTATACGTGTTTATACCATAAACACATATACAGAAAACACTATCTAAATATACTAATGAAGGAAGAATAGGTACAAACACATATAAAAAAGCAGAAAATACTATCTAAACATACTTATAAAGGAAGTATAGGTTTAAATACATATACAGAAAACACTACTTAAACGCGCTTATCTTTCCATGGCAGCACAGCTTCTACATCTTTTTTTTTTCATCTCTCTTGAATGAAACCCCAGTAATCACTGTGTGAGCGATAGAAAACTTTTCTCTCATCCAGCACAGACACTTCACCAGAACAACGATCAGTTAAAATAGCAGTATTTTTTCCAAACGTTGATATCCGTGAGTGTGTGGAAGATAATGTATTTGTGAGAGTAACTTTCATCCATTTATATGTCAGTAAAATCTGATATTAGAAAAGCATGGCTATCCATACATCTATAAATTCTGGCCACTTAATGCCCGAGTTATGTATAAAGCAGTTGTACTATAAATTATTTATTTGTTTATTTAAAGGTGAAATACTTTTAATAAAATTAGCATTTTTCTGAAAAACTGAAAACTGATTTCCCAGGTTCAAATCTTATCCGAGCTCAATTTTCACTTTATCGGAAAATCTTTCCCACATTAAGCAGATTTTCACTTTATCAGATAACCTTTCATACATTAAGTAGATTTTCACTTTATCAGATAACCTTTCATACATTAAGTAGATTTTCACTTTTTCAGATACCTTTCACACATTAAGCAGATTTTCACTTAATCAGATAACCTTTCATACATTAAGTAGATTTTCACTTTATCAGATACCTTTCACACATTAAGCAGATTTTCACTTAATCATATAATCTTTCCCACATTAAGCAGATTTTCACTTTATCAGATTACCTTTCATACATTAAGCAGATTTTCACTTTATCAGATTACCTTTCATACATTAAGCAGATTTTCACTTTATCAGATACCTTTTATACATTAAGTAGATTCTCACTTTATCAGAAAACCTTTCATATAATAAACAGCATTTCACTTTATCAGATAACCTCTCATATAATAAACAGCATTTCACTTTATCAGATACCTTTCATACATTAAGTAGATTTTCACTTTATCAGATAATCTTTCACACATTAAGCAGATTTTCACTTTATCAGATAATCTTTCACACATTAAGCAGATTTTCACTTTATCAGATACCTTTCATACATTAAGCATAAACGATTTGAGGTTTTAAATGTTTTGGACAGTCAATATGTTTTGATTCATCGAGTTATAAAGAAAATATAATCTCATATCTCTGTTTTGAATTATTGTAACCACAAAGTAACGCAGTAGTCTATCTCAAGAAGAAAATTTGCTCATGGTTATCTCTCTCTCTCTCTGTATATATATTGTTAAATGATTAAAATACAGTAACTTAATTTTGAAAGTGTAAAAATGGAATTAGATATAAAAACGAATAATTATAATTTTGCTGAAGAATCCTTAGGTTATTAAGAGACATTTCTATCTTTTATTCCTTTAATTAATCGACAGTAAAATATTTTCATATACTTTTAGTTACCCCATAGAATAACAGTTGCAAACAGTTTCACACAGGGTAAAATACCGTATTATTATTTAATTGAGCAGATAAAACGTTTCTTTCACTCCTAAAAGCTCGGCATGGCCAGGTGGTTAGGGCGCTCGGCTCGCAATCTGCGGGTCGCGGATTCGAATCTCTGTCACACCGAACATGCTCGACCTTTCAGCCGTGGGAGCGTTATAATGTAACGGTCAATCCCACTATTCGGTGGTAAAAAGAGTAGCCCAAGAGTTGGCGGTGGGTGGTGATAACTAGTTGCCTTCCCTCTAGTTTTACTATGCTAAATTAGGGACGC